AGCAATGTGCAGTGCATAAGGCATCGTGTCGGTCCCGTGCGTAAGGTGGGCACTGCGTCACACGTTCTAAATAAACGGGCTTTTAAAGGGGGAAAGGAAGTTGTTTCTCTCCAAGCCCCAGCCCCAGAATAGCGACTCAAGCATTAACCACTGCTCACAGGAGGACCTGAGCTGTTCCAGCAGAGGAGAAAGGACATTCGCAGGCTCAGGACAGCCGCGACGTGAGCCAGGCTGGGCACGATGGCTCGGAGCCACAGCACTGCCCACACTCCTGCTCCGCGCCGGGAGCAGCAAAGTTGTTGGCTGGCTCCTTTCTGAAAGTTAAAATTGGTTTGTCATTTTCTTTTCTCTTCTCGCACCTTATCTAGTTTCTGCATTCTTCCCACTTCAGTAGTCAAAGTGATTGAAAGCCGAAAACTGAGCGGATCTGTCCCCGCAGCGACTTCCCTCGCGTTTCTCATTTTCCGTCGTATCAAACGGGCTCTTTGTCTCTGAGCTCCCCTGATGTTGCCTCTGTTACACGGAGATATTCTTCAGGTCACGGGGGTTAAAAGGGGGCTAAAAAGGAGATCATATTGGACTTGCTTTACACAGCCACGTAGCATTAGCCCCAACGCCCAATAGAGGAAAGATATACTACTCCTATTTGATGAGCAGCAGGCCAATAAATTCATTAATCATCATTTTATGCCTCATCAAACACTTCCCAAGTTCCTCCATGGGAGTTATACAAATTAGCCACTGAAAAGGCAGTAATTTTAGTTTAGCTAGGTAAGTGCTTTTTGATTGCCTTCCTGAACAATGCTTCCCTTGACAAGCTAATAAATCAGCCCTTTCTGAATCAGAAGTGCAGCAAGTGCGAACAATAACTCCACATAGTTTCTCCACTGATTTCAGCTGGAAGGCCTAAGAGGATGATCTGGGATCAAAGTCTCTCACTTTATTGCGGAGCAAAAGCTTTCTTTATGAAGAAGAGCTGCAGAGAAATGAGGGAAGGGGGGATTTTTTAATCAATTAATGAGCAGAAAAAAAGTCTCGAAACAAAAAGGTGGCCTAAGGCCGCAGAGCAGGGCTGCAGGTGATGCCGTGGGCAGGCAGTGAGGGGACAGGGCCGGGCTGTGCTCCGTGCAGTGCAGCCCACCGGGCCCAGAGGGCTGCAGGTGCTCGTGGTGTGGGGTGGGCTGGCGCTGCGGTGGAAGCCCTGCAGGCTGAGCTGCCTTCTCTCTCTCTCTCTCACTCTTTTTTTTTTTTTTCCCTTCAAATTGCAGCCTTTGACAATATCATTTTTTTTTAACTTGGCCGTAAATCATTTCACTAATCAGCTGTCACCGGCCGACACGCACGCGTTGGCATTCAGCCGGAGAATTTGTTTTGGAAGGCCTTTAGCGACAAACCCGATGTTGGTATCAATACCGTCTGCGGTGCTCCCGCACCCGGGGGTCGGACGGGGCGGGGGGAGCGGGGCTCCGCAGGGTGAGGCCGGGCCCGAGGGCCCCCCGCGGCCGGAGAAAGCCGTTTCGACGCGGGGCGGCCGCTCCTCTTCATTAACTTTCCCTCCGCACGGCACCGCGTGCCTCTGAAAATAACTTGGCAAACCGGGAGCCGTTTATCTCTTTTATCTTGGGACCCGATCCAATTAAATAAGTGCACATTTACATTTGCATCCATCAGGCGCGAGCGAGGAGAGGGCCGTGGTTTGCTTTAAGCAAATAGAAGCCAATGGCGGCGGCAAGGAGAGGTGCGGGGCCGGACCCCCGCAGGGTCGGGACGCGGCGCCGGACTACGAGCTGCGGGCCCGCACCGCCGACGGCCGCCCGGTGACGCTCCGAGCAGCGCCGGCCGCGGGCACCGCGGGGTTCTGCCGCTCCTTTCGGCAGCGAACGGGAGCCGCTCCCGCGGCCGCACCGTCGGACCGTCGGACAGGGCCGAGCCGGGCCGGCGCTCCCGCACCGCCGCGGTGCGGTGGAGGAATGCGGGCGGCGCGGGGCCGAGGCGCCATCTGTCCCCGCGGGCCGGGAGCGCTGATTTATGCGGAGCGCCTCGGAGGAGCTCGCCGCAGACTTTGTCTTTCTCTGTCAGACCCGAGTAAAAAGAAGCAGCTGGCCTGAATTTTTAGCACCCATAATTAATTAAGAGCTTCGTTCCTGGGATTTGATGATTCAATAAAGCGAGACCCTTATTCCCCTACGTGCTTGCAGTGAATGTCTCCTCCGCTTCGATCCTCGGGCCCCGAGATGGGGCAGATTAACGCTCTTTTTCTGTGGAAGAGAGGGGAAAAAATGCCTTAAGATTGCATCTGAGGCGCACACAAAAGGTAAATTCAGAACTGCCACTTGTTCTCCGCCAAAGCTCCTTCTTCGGGGCCATTGATGTGTTTGTGGCAGATCTTAAAGGAACCGGCGGGGGGACGGGGAATTATTACCGCAGCTCTCGGATGGAAGGCAGCAGGTTCCGGGGCACTCGTTCCCGGCCGGCCGCTGTGCCCCCGCTTCTAACCTTGCGGGGTCGGGGAGCTCCCGGGACTCTGGCCCCGCACCGGGCTCTGCCCGCGGCCAAACCCGGGCTCGGGCAGATCCACACCGCACTCCATCTCTCCTTCCTTCGGCCGCCCCCCCGCGACACCGCCGTCCCTGCCCTCGTGCCGTGGCTCCGGGCGGGACTGGGCACTTCGCGGCCGCCGTGAGAGCCTCTCCCCGGCTCCGGCCCGTGGAGCAGATAAACGGGAAAGGACGCAACCGGGGAGAGGGGGGATGCGAACACGCCTGAGGTGCGGGCGTCTGAATTTGGATTTGTTTTGGTTTTAAGCGTGGAAGAGGAAGCAGCGGGGCTGCGCTGGGCTCCCCGCCTCGTCGCCGTGAGCCATTGAGAAATTGCCCGGGGACGGGGGCCGCTGCCCCCAGCCGACCCCGGTCCCTCAGTCCGGGGCACCTGCGGGGCTCCCCCGAGGCAGCCCCTACTCCAGTGCCTGAGGCTCCCGGAGCGGCCGCACGCGGGAGCTCCTCTCGTTCCCTGAGGGGCCCCGACCGGGGCAGAGCGGCTCCGCGGTCCCTCGCGGAGATGCCGGGAGCCCGGAGGGAGCGGGCGGCCCTCGGGGGCTGCGCCGCCGCCACCTGCGGCCCGGGCCGGGCACCTGCTGCTGCTGTTACTGCTGCTGTTACTGCTGCTGTTACTGCTGCTAATGCTGCCGGCCTGGCCCTGCTTACGGCCCGGCAGACGCTGCTCCCGGGAACCCGCACTGGCTCCCGTTAGTTGTATTTTAAGTGTCCTCAGAATGTTTTGTTTTGGTTTGTTTTCGAACAACAAATTGACATAGCACAGCAGAAAGGGCGGGCTGCCCCCCTCTCTCCCCTTGCTGTTAGAAAGGAGAAAGCAGGAACGGCAGCGCCGGCCCCCCCGCCCCCCGCTGCAGAGGGACAGGGAAAAGGCAAACTGGGGGGGAACAGCGGTGAGGCCGCATGAATGGTTATGATTTAAATGAGCGACGGGCCGCGACCTGAGGGAAATGGGAAATTCCCGGTGGAATTTATATATCAAACGAAAATCGTACTGATACCGCGGACAGACCCGCCGAAAGCAACCCCGGTGATAGGGAACGGGGCTACCGAACGAGCGGGGCTCCGGAGCTGCCGTGCGGAGCGACTTTCTTAGAGATAGGGAGGTGAGCTGGGAAAAGGTAGAGCGGCATTAAACCAAATCCGTCCCCGCTCGCTGAAAAACGAAACCCCGTTCGGCCGGACCCGTTGGGAACCTGTTGGTTCCTCACTGCCGGCACCGGCCATGGGAAGTTCCACCCGGGCCGCCTCGCACAGCCCCATCCCCGCGGCCGCCGCGCTCCTCCTGCGCGGAACGCGGCCGGCGCGGAGCTCCGCACTGTGAGTGCGGGATCCGAGCGCGGGTCGGAGCGGGCGGTAAAAATTCTTGTATAATTTATAAAGGGACAAAAGAACCTATTGTTGTCCCTGGAAAATTCGAGTCTTCACACATTCAGGTCGGAACAATTTTGATTTCAAACGAGATTGCACGCACCACTCGGGTACCCAGGAGTTCAGACGTGACACACGAAGGACCTTTCAAAGCCCCGTAACACGCACACACGCGTGAATAAACCCGTTCCGGCCACCGAACGGTTCCGACAAAGTTGAAGGGCTCACAGAACAATTATCCGGATTAGAAAAAAAAAAAAAAAAACACAAAAAACAAGAAAAAAAAAAAAAAAAAAAAAAAACAAAACAAGAAACGAACCCGAACCAAATCCCACGCGAACGGAACGGAGCGGGCTGCCCGCCGCTGGGAACGTTCCCACCGTGTCCGCCTCCGCCCGACACCCCCCGCTCCGGCCGGCCGGCGCAAAGCAGAGCCCTTCTCGGTCCCCGGCCGCCCTCCTCCCGAAGCGACGTTCCACCGACCGGGTCGCTCGGCTCCCGCGGGCACCGGGCGCCGCCCCCCGCCTCGGCCCCCGGCGCACCGCGGGGCTCGGAGCGCTCCGGGACTGCGGGCGGCGGCGCGGAGCTCCCGCGGCGGCGGGCGGGCGCCAAAGCCGGGCCGAGTGTGACCCCTACCTGCCGCCGCCCGCAAGCACCGCGGGCCCGGGAGGGGGCCCCGAGCGCTGCCCCCGCGGCCGCGGCCCCGGGCACCGCCAGCGAGGGGAAATCTGGCAGAAAATCGAACTCATTAGCGAAGTTGAGCAGCGGATCGCTTCGCGTGAAACGCGGCACTGATTGCGGGTAATGAGGTTACGTGCGGGATCGGCCCCGCGCCCGCTGCGGGAAGAGAACGGGGCTGCGGCCGCCGGAGCGGGGCTGCGTTGTGCCGCCCGCCCACTTCCCAACGAGCGCTGGATCCCAGAAGTGGGACCCGTTCCTCTTTGCCCTTTTTTTTTTTTTTTTTTTTCTCGTTATAGTTTAGCGCACGCCCAAGGGGGGAAAAAAAAACCACTAGCCATAAAAAAATAAATTAAACTTGTATATATATATTTTTAAAACTATGAAACAATTCGGAAAAAGACACAGAAATGTATATATTTATATTACGAAAACAACATTAATGCCTGTACAGGTGTCTCGATTTCATAATTTACTTCAAAGATACCGTATTATCAATTTAAATACAAAAGCTACATTAAATATACAGAGGGATCCGTACAAACGTCCGTGGGGGCCGCGGGGAGCGCTGCGGGCGCGGGGGGGCGAACCACTCGGCGCCGCTTGTTTCGTTTTTGCCTTTCTTTTGGTAGTGGAAAAATAACTGCCGCGGCATTTCTTATTTCTTTCAATAAATTAAAAAAAAAAAAAAAAAGAAAAAGAAAAAAAAAGAAAAAGAACCGAAGCACAGTCCCAGCGGGGGAAGGAGGGAAGCCGACATTAAATGCTGGACATACCTTTCTTCAGTTCGTAAGGCGAGTCCTTGCCGAGCTCCGCCTGGGGCTGGCTCCTGGCCGCCTTGGGCTCCTTCCCCAGCCCCTCGGCCCGGCTCAGCACAGTCTGGTTTAATCCATTGAAGGCGGCGCCGGGCGCGGCGGGCCCGCCGGCGGGGTGCCCGTGCAGGGCCCCGAAGGAGCCGTAGTTCGTGTAGCCGGGGTAGAAGGGCGCCGTGTAGTAGAGCGGCCGCGGCAGGACCGCCCCGTTGGGGAAGGGGCACTGCGCGGGCGGCGAGCGGGGCCGCGGCGGAGAGGGGCGCGGGGGGCCGCCGCCTCCCAGCACGGCGGGGCCGGGGGCCGCCGTTTCGCCACCCGCCTCCCTCGCCCTGTCCGCCGAGGTGGCGATCTCGGCCAGCGACCAGAGCTTGGGCTTGGCGAGGGCCGCCTGCTGCGGCGAGTGGATGACGGAGGCGGCGGCGGGCGGCAGCGGGTGCGGCTCGGCGACGTGCGGCGGCCCCGCGGCGGCGGAGGGCGGCCGGAACGGCGGGGGCTCCTCGGGGCCCGGACCGCGGCCCCCCGGGCACGGCCCCAGCGGGGAAGCGCCGGGCGCTTTGGGCGGCCCGTCGAGCCGCTCCTCCGGAGGCTCCTTGCAATCCGAGTCGCTGAGGCCGGCCTCGGCCTCCCGCGGGCTGGGGGGCTCCTGCAGACGCTCGCAGCCCGGCGCGGCCCTGGGTTCCGCCGTTCCTGCGGGGGAAAGGACGGGGGTGGGGGGGCGGCTCGGCGGGCGGCCCGAGGGCCCCGCAGCTGCCTCCAAAGCCCGCGCGGCGCCGCCCGCTCCCCGTCCGGGCGCACCGGGCAGCCCCGTGGGCGCGTACCCCCCCCCTCGACCCCGGCCCACCGCCTACCTGCATCCGGAGAGCCAGGGTCCCCCTTCTCCTCCGGCTTCTGCGGCTCGTCCTCGTCGTTCTTTTCCAGGTCGATGTTCTCCTCCTCCTCCTCGTCCTCGCTGCGGTTCCGCGGGGTCCAGGTCATCTTGTTCTCCTTCTTGAGCCGCCGTCGCGCGTTGGCGAACCAGGTGGAGACCTGGGTGAGGGTCATCTTGGTGATGATGGCCAGCATGATCTTCTCGCCCTTGGTGGGGTACGGGTTCTTGCGGTGCTCGTTGAGCCAGGCCTTGAGCGTGGCCGTGGCGTCCCGCGTCGCGTTCTTGCGGTACGCGGGATCCCCGTAGGGATAGGAGCCCAGCGGCGCCGCGTACGGGTGGTAGCCCAGGGAGCCCGCCATGGCCGGGGGGTGCTCGTAGGGAGAGCCCTGCGGAGAGAGCGCAGAGCGGCCGTGAGCGCGGGGCGAGGCGGTGGCGGGCGGCAATGACACGGCAAGGGCAGCCGGGCCTGCCCGCGCCCCGCAGCGCCCCGCAGCGCCGCTCCGGCCCGGGGGGGGGGGGGGAGCCGGGAACGGCCGGAAGGCTCCGGCCCCGAGGGAACCCCGCTCCTCTGCCCCGCGGCCGGGAGCGCGGCGCTGCCTTCCCGCTGTTTTCCTTCCCGCTGCGTTCTCAGTGCCTCCCCGCTGCCCCCCGTTTCCCCGGGGCTGCCGCCGCGGCGGACAACCTGCCGGGCCGGGAATAAAGGGAAAAGGAAAGAGCAAACGGGAGGGGGAAAGAAAAGAGGCCGGGAAAATAAAAATGAAAAATAAACGAGAAAAAGGGAAATAACTCAAGGAAACTCCGCCTGAAGCGCGAACAGAGCAGAGGAACCGAGCAACGACCCCCGGCTTTATTTCGGGTGCGGCGGCGGAGCGCCCCGAGGCCCATCGCAGCGCAATTAGCGGGGAAAGTTGCCGGGCTCACCGGCCGCACTTCAACCACCTCCGGCCGCTGTCGGTTCCTTCCCCTTTACACCGCAACAAGAAAACGGTTGCGGATTTCAGACGCTCAGTCTGTTCTTCTATATAATCAAAAATAGATAATTTTTGCTCTCGTTGGGGAAGCGGGAGCGGTCCCTCCGGCGCTGCCGCTGCCCCGCGCGATGCCGCCCGGCCCGGCTCGGCCCCGGCCGCTCTCCCCGGGCCGTGTCCGCAGCGCTGCGCGGTGCGGGAGGAGCGCGCCGGGGCCGGGGGCCGCGCCGCCTTTTGTCCCCGCGAGCCCCGAAATCGAACGGGAACAAAAAGCGGGGCCGTGGGAGGGGGTGCCGTGCCCGGCGCGGTGCGCTGCCCGGTGCTGCTCTTACCACGTAGGAAGTGAAGGCGGCGGCGGCGGCGGCGGCCGGGTCCGTGCCGTACTGGAGGTGCGAGTTGTAACCCGGGGACGGGGCGGTGAAGGCGGTAGATCCGGCATAAGGGGAAAAAGCGGAGCCCGAAGAAGATCTCCCAAGTTCATCGGTCCTGGGTCCGGAAATCACGCTGGTGCTGTACGCCGGGCACGAGTAGAGAGCCAAGGAGGCAGACGGCTGGTACAAGTAGCCCTGAGGATACGACATGGCCCCGCGCACACATACACCCGCGGGCCCGGGGGAGCAGCCGCGCTGGGTTGGGGCCGGGGCTGGGGCCGGGGCTGGCCGCCCTCGCCAGCCGGGCAGCGGCACCGCTCCGCGCCCCGCGCCGGGCACCGCTTCCCGCTCGCTCTGCCCCCGCTCTGTGCTGCGTTCCCCTCTCTGTCTCTGCCCCTCGCACCGAGGGGGGGGGGGGGGGGGGGGAAGGGGGGGGCCTTTTTTTCTTTTTTTTTTTTCTTCCCTCCCCCTTCCTCCTCGCTCTCGCTTTCCGCAGGGTCCTGCCAAGATGCTAAGTTGGAAATCGCAGCTCCTGACGCCTTCTGCGCGGCCCGGCGAGGCTCCTCCTTCGCGGGGTGTTGTCAGGAGGCCGGGCCGGGCCCGGGCCCGCGGCGGGGCCCAACCAGCGCCGGGGCTCCGCGCTCCCGCCCTCCCCGCGCCGAGCGCGAGCTCGCGGGCAGCGCGGGGCCGTGCGGGCGCGGCCGCAACTTTCGGCGTGTGCCGAGCGGCGGGGCGGGTGCGGTAAGAGCGGAGCGGATCGGCAGTAGATGTATCGCGCGCCCGTCTCCCTCCCCTCCCGCTCCTCCCTCCGCCGAAGGTGGGACGGCCGTGCGGCGCGGTACACACGGCGCTCAGACCGAGGAGCCGCGCCGTCGGCTGCCGCCGGGCCGGGCTGTGGCCGGGCGGAGCGGGGGGGGACGGACACGCGCAGCCCTCGGGAATCGGGGCGGATCGGGCCGCACGGACAGCGCCGACTGCCCGCCGATCGGCGGCTGCGATCTTCTCCGATCGTCCGCATCTGTTTCCCACCGGGAACAGCTCAGGTTACCCCCGCTGGTTGCTCTCCCGGTCCCCCGCCGGGGGAAACTCGTTACTTCGGTGCTCGTCCCGAGCCCCCCGGGCTCCGCTGCCGGCTCGGGAAAGTGTTTGGCAAGGGTGGGCCGGGCCAGGGGCTCCTGCCACCTCCCCGCAGTCGAACGGCAGCGCCTTCCCAGGAGGGGCTCGCGCCGGGTTCGGGCTTCGAACCCCGGCCACAGGGATCAGCCGGCGGCACCGGGCACCGCCGCAGGCGGGGCGGGCGTGGCCCGCACTACACTTCCCGGCGGGCCCCGCTGCCGCCGGGCCCGCCCCCGCCCCTCCCGCCATCCGATTGGCCGTCTCCCCACGGCCGGCCGTCCCTCTCCTCCTCCCGTTGGCTGGCGGAGCCGTCGCTCCGCGGGGGGTAGAACGAGGCGGGGCAGCGGCGGGGCGCCGGCGGCATGCGGGAGCTCGGCGCTGACAGGGCGGCGCGCGGAGGCGCTGCTGGACGGGACGGGCGGCTCCTGCCCGCCGCAGGTGAGGACCGGAGCGGGACACGGCGGCGCCGCTGCCCACGGCCCCGCTGCCCCGGTGCTCGGGGCGCCCTCTGCCGGCGAGGCAGCCGCGCGGGACCTCCGCGCCGGCCGCCGCCGCCCCGCCTAGCGCTGAGAGGAGCGGGGCTCTCAGGACGCGGTAAGGCCGCGCGGCGCGGGGATCCGAGCGCTCCGTTCGTGGCGGTTCTGCGGCGTCACCTCCGCCCCGCGCGGCTCGCTGCGGAGGGACATCTCCGTTTCCCGCTGTATTTACGCGGCCCGCTCGGCGGGAGGTGCACCCCGAGTATGGGCTGCGTCCCGCTCTGCCCGCGTTGTTTGCGGCGGTTTGTTATCGCGGTTCCTCGGCCGCTCAACTTTCTGTCCCGGGCGGCGCCGAGCGCGGGGTCGAAGCGCCACGGTGCCGGAGCCGCGCCTTTGCTTTCCGCCGCTCCCTTTCGGGACGTGCGGACGCAGCCGGGCGCCGCTTTCCCTGCCGGCAGCGCCGGACGCGCGGAGCGCCTCGCTGTGAGCGCTGCCCCAGCGCCAGCGTCCGAGCAGCCTGCTGTTGTGGCGGCCCTGGCAGGTGCGGCTGTCTCGGATGCGAAACGCAGTGAGGAAGAAGCAGCGCGATTTTTTGTTTATTTATTTGTTTGCGCGCGTGTTTTTATTTGTTTTTGAAGTGCGCTTAAAAGACGCTGATGGATAACGCCGCCTTGGCAGAGGGTGCCGGCACAGGTGTGCATCGTTATCTTAATTAAGATCCGGAGAAAATGTCATCTTTCAGCATGAATCATGAAGAGAGATGCACAAGGAGATCACTTCAGCTTTTTTTTTTTTTTTTTTTTTTTCCCTTTTTCCATATTGCAGAGAGAGGGAGGTGATTTCACAGCCCCTTTCTGGTATTTCTGTATCACAGTTCCTCACCTACCAGACTCATGCTGGATGATCTGTTTGCCCCATAGTTTGGGACCGCATTGCCTGGAAGCCCTGGGAAAAGCCCTTGTGTCTGAGGCTGCCCCTATGAGCCACATAGGGAGACTTTGGGCTGCAGGAGAAATTGACAGCTAGGAGAGTTTTATGTCATGCATTTAAAGGTACAAGCAACTTGCATTAGCAACAGAACGAAACTTAGGTATCTGTGCATATGTGTATATACATACATATATATATATATTTTTCAAATTGTAAAGAAAAAATATTTTACTTTTCTCACCTTTATAGTACCATGGAACAACTTTTACAATACTTAAAACTAATTAACTGCAGAGTGGTGAGGAGCTCACGTTGTGCTGTTAAACCAACGGAGAACTCAGTGTACAGGAGCTAAAACCTCCCACACAATGCTCTGGCAGTGAGCTGCAGGCTGCCCTGCAAGCAGTGCTGTGCTTGCAGCTGCTGCCCCAAGTGGGGTACTGGGAGGTGCTGTGCATGCAGTGTGAGTCCTGCACGGCTCTCAGCATGGCGTGGTTTTTGGGGAGCTCTCCCTATGTCCCTGCACTCTACCTGTTAGTGCTCTGCTCCCACTCAGACCCTGGTACATTTTCGTCGTGCCTGCAGTCGGGACAGGACAACACAGGCAGATCTCTGCCTTGTTTTCTTCAGCAGACCTTTGCAGGCAAAATCTTTCTGTTTGTTAGAAGCTGATTATCACTCTTTATCCTTTTTTAATTGCACCAAAAAACCTGTTTGGTGTGTGCAATAAAAACATGCATGAGTACAGAGCCCAGAGCGGCTGTACAGAGCACAGAGCTCCAGCAATCCCAGCAGTGCCATGGGAAAACCTGAGCTGCTGTTTCTGTTTCCTTGAAGTTTCTTGTAATGAGATCAAACGCTGCGATTTGCTTGAATTTGCTGCCGTGATACGGACTAAGTTAAATATGTCTTTAAGGTTAATTTTGCTTACAGTTCCTTGGGCATATGTGGTAAATGTGATTGGCTTAGTGAAGGGGAGGGGAAAAAAAAAAAAAGAAAACCTGCTCCTTTTTGTCTCACCCACCCAGTTTTCCCTTCCAACAGCCATCTCTGCTGGCAGCTGCCTCCCAGTGCCAAAGGAGCTGCAGGTGAGGGGTGGCTGTGCTCCGTGCAAGGTGCCTTCCCAGCACAGGGCTGCAGTGGGGCCGCACCTGTCCCAGGGCGCAGCGGTGTGCAGGCAGCCGGCTCCTAATGGCAGCGCTGTGTTCACACGGCTCTGTGTTTTACCGGGCTGCCTTGTGCCTTTACCTCTGTTGGAGTGTATTTTTTGCAGTTCTGGTATTGGTGACAGCTGGTGAGGCAACCTTCCTAGTCCTGCGACCAGAGAACCCCTTGTAACAGTCTGAATGTTAACAGAAATCAGAGAACAACCTTTCCATTTTCTTTCGTATGGATACAGATGCAAATGATTCTTGAAGCTGTTTTCTGCAGATCAAATGAATGTGTGCTGCACAGAACCAGCATCATCATCTTTTTCTTTGTTTGTTTTTTTGTTTTCTCTCCCTTCATATAAATCATTGTTTCAAAGCACAGAGGCAGGCTGGATCCAGGTAACAGGGATTGCACTGTGCTAACAAACTCGTGACCGATTGATCTCCTGCTCCTCCTGAAGGAGGCATTTCACAGCTTTTTCTTTCCATAAGCACAGCTTTTTCAGTGTTTCTCAGCATTTCTGTCACATATCAAGAATGCGTTTACCTCTGAAACATTTCTGTGCTGGCATCCGTGAAACTTTTCATGCCCTTTGCGTTTAATTTTGTACAGAATAATGCATGGCGTAGTATTTAGGTCTTCTGTTTTCAATTAAGCTGCATTAGGTAACTAAGCTCTTCTTTCATATCCCATAACGAAGTATCAATATCCAGATGGTGGTGTGCTGGGACAGCATGGCTATGGCTGCTACTGCAGAGCTGAGAGCTATCGCTGCAGCCAGCGCGATAAATAACGCCGAGGTTGTGACTCTTGGCGTATTGGAGGTGCACTAAATAATGCTACAGTGCTGTTTATTACTGGTTTCATTGGATAATATGCAGCTGTAAAACCTGCTTGAAGCTTTTATTAAGAATACTCTGTCATTATAAAAAGATGCCTACAACTTCTTTATGATATTAACAGTGCCGGAATTGCTCTGTGCTGGCTGCCTGGCTGGGAAGGAGCGCAGCTTCTCTGTGCTCCAGGATGCAGGGATGTCTCTTGGGAAGGAGACAGCTCTGGGTTGGAAAAGACACTTGTAAGGCACTTTTGTTCTGCTTGCTCTTTGCTTTTTCTTAAGTTTATTTCAGTATTTAATTTCTTGCTTTGATTAAACTTCAGGTGATATCCTCTGTGCTATAAACGGTGCTATTGAACTGACACCAAGGAAACTTGTGTGGTTATTTGAGAGGCTGCAGGATGGCTGAGGAGCTTTAGATGGACCGAGAAGATGAGGGGGGAGACTTGGTGGCAGGAAAGGAGCAAGGAGTCTGCAATCCCAGCCTGTTTCCTCATTCAGCCTGTGGCACATCATATGGCCGGGATGTGTCTGCGTGTGTAACCTCTGTGCCTCTGTTTGCCTGACTGGAACCCTTTGCATTTCCTGGAAATACTCAGATTTAAGCTGTTGGCCATACACATATCACTTATTAGACTGTTGTGTTTTCAAGCAAAAGCAAATTATTCATTCTATTACTGATTTATTAATTAAATGCCAATAAGTTTCCGTATTCCCCAGACCTTTGGTTGCTGTATGGCTTTATTTACAATGCAACTCTTAGGCAACACAGAACCAACATCCACCAGTGGGATGTGGTAATAACATGGTGTGTGTGGGATTTGACATGCATGTTGGATCAGTGGATGAAGTGACCCTTGTGTTGCTCCGTCCTTTACCCTAAGTTGTAAGGGAAATCTGTCCCAGTTAGAGATAATTCTTTTATTCCTTTGTTATTATTCCCTTTCCCTGTTCTCCCCATGTCCGTGCTTTGCCTTGGCAGAGCACAGCCAAGAGGAGAAGCAGAGAGGTCTGTGATGGGGAGAACAAATCCAGCACTCCACCCCAGCAAGCACACCTGAATGCAGGAGGAGACTTGCACAAAGCCAGAATACACTTGGGCTTGCAGCAATTTCTAGCCATGTGAAGTCCTATTCAGAGCTAATCCGAAGTGATTTGTTCTGCGTGCAAAATGATTCATTAAGTAAAGCACTGCAATAGTGGCACTGTCCTTTGTGCTACTGGGTTCTGTCTCTAACCAGAAGCAGAAATAACGTTTCCAGTGTTAGTCCTGTTTCTTTTAAGACCGTCGTATGGTGCAGATGGTAAACGTTGTAATAATTATGTTTTCTCTTTTTCTTTTTTTTTTTCTCTCTAGATGAGTTCAGGGAGACTGGTTTAAGCAGTGCAGAAGTTCATGGATGGAAGAAGAGTCCTCGTTTCAGAGCACCTAAACATGAAGATTTTGTAAACGCCATTAGGTAGAGAGTGTTGCTAATAGTTAAATTTTATCAGTAAGACTGAATGCTGTAACTGTGATTATGCACCACATTATTGGTCATGGATCATATGGAACTGCTTTTAATAAATGTACATAGACTGGTGGCTTAAATAAACAGTATGAGTAAGAACAGTAAATGGGGGAACTAGGCACTAGAGGAAGTGCTGTTAGCTTATCTTTAAGCCAGCATCGTTTATTTCTGCAGTGCTGTCTGCAAGTTCTTGTATGGCTTGAGAAAGTCACAATGAAGAACAGTACCTTTTTATTCAATAAGTTATTCTTATTCTTGACCAGAAAGACATATCCATTGTCCTTCATAGTTCTCAGCTGCTACAGTAACTTAATACTTTGTCCAGCAAAAATAACACTCACAGTGCTGACCTAAGAAATATCCATTTGTCTGTGGTGCTGCAGCATGTGCTGCTCTTCCTTCTCAGGGATCCTTTGCTGGGAGCTGCTGTGTGCTGCCTGCTGCAGCGCAGCCCTCTGGGACCCCTTGCCTCCAAAGATGGAATCCATGAGCCTTTTCCACTTTGAAACTGGGAGTTCTCCCTTCTGAGCCCAATGAGTCTCAAATATTGCATAAAAGGATTTGATAGTGTTGTCCAGGAGATGTGACTGACTGAATTATTACTAATATTAAGTGCCTTACGATGCTGGGAAAGAGTCATTGCATTCTTTTTTGCAAATAGGAGAACTGGCGTGCAGGAGGAATGGATCTCATCTGTCTGCTGTGATTCTTGACCCACCTAATTGGCTAATGGCCATGAGCAATAACAGCGTGGCTCAGGGGAGCGGCGCTGGGGCAGAGAAGCACTGTGCTGTGCTGAAGGCATTGCGTGTGGTGAGTGGGGTCTCTCTCTGGTCTGGTGGCCAGTGAGGAGATTGAAAAGGGCTGGTGGTGCTGAGGCTGTCTCTGTCGGATGGCTTCATTTGAGATTTTGTCCAGGGGAGCGATGCCCTCCGTAGTGTGGTATTGCAATTCGCTTCTAGGAGCTGCTCTTTCTTTATTTTAATTTTTTTTTTCCCCACCCCCTGCTTTCCTTTCACAATAGAGGGGCCTTTCCCCAGGAGAAGTTGATTGACTTCTCAGCTCATACGTGCAGTTTTCTTGCACTTGGTTAGTCTCGAAGGCAGTAATGGGTTCTTCTGGCCTGAGAATTTAGTTTCTTTCTTAATAGTTTATTTTGCTCAGAAGAGAGTCTCTCTAGCTTGCTACAAACAACATTGATTTTGATGTGTATCAATAAAGAGTTAGTCTTAGAGATGTGTGTTTTCCATGTAGAAGATAAAGACTTAAAACCTACATGAAAGGAATGCCTGTCTTGGAGAGGCTTGCTTAGATGTAGAATATGCCCTATTCTTTCGTATTTTGAAAAGACTGTAAAGAGTGTATATATATTCTTTGCAAGGAAAGAGGAAATAATTCCGTCTTTTGATTGCGTTTTTTTCCTTAGTCTTACAGTTCTTACAGTTGCAAGATAAACACTTGGAAACACGAGTTGGTAAGGTTAATGTGATTAAAATGAATATGTGATAACGAGCTCTGCGCATTAAAGATTAAGAGCTCAAATTATAGGCTCTGAAGTGGGGCGCTCCATGAGCGCTTGGGAATTTTGTTTGTGTGAGGAACACGAGGCTTTGGCCCACGGTTGCGGTTGCACAACAACGATTGCGTCCTGTCTGCTGTTTGATCGTAACCGATCTGCAGAGACGTGTCTGGTGCACTGCCGTGTCAGCGTGGAAATGCAGTCTGGGCTGAGGCTGGGGGTGAACGAGGGAATGATTTCTGCCCCAGTATTAGCAGTATTCTATCAAAATAGAGTGATTCACATTTACGAAGAGCGGTTTGTAGCGTTTTGACCACGCAGTAGTTAATTCTTTACGTATAAATTGATCCTTTATACAAATGTAATTCCATACACAACAGTTAATCTCTTTGAGTGCGAGTTGCAAATATGCTGGCAATTAATTTATGTAGGTTATGACTCTCTCCCCCTGGCCCGTATTCTGCCGTGGTTACCTACGCTAAAGTTGAGTTGGTTTGTGCTTAATGAAAATTAGATGTGAAATGTGATATGGAGAGGACAAAGAAGCATTGAAATCCTTATTGGTCTTTAAAAGACCAAGGTACTCCAGACAATTTTCCTTTCTTGATCTCCGGAGAATTTGATGTGTAATTCTGTTAGGAGCAATTTGGATTGAAGGAGATGGAAATATTTTCAGAAGCAGCGATAGGACCAGATATCACTGCGTGCCTGTTGCAAAGCCTACTTTTGTTTTAAAACACTTTGCATTCTGAGAGGCTAACTTATAGAGACTCTGCCATTGAGAAAGAAAAGCATTTTAGAGCTTTTGTGGAGAGACAAGCCTAGCTGTTATTTCTGTGCTATTTGCTAACGGTGCACCGTTTAAATGAAAGTTTGTTTGCATAACAGCAATGGCGTTTTACCTCCTCTTCCTTGGGGTTCTGTCCAACTGGATGTTATGAGTGGCAGTTGCAGTGGCTGCTAAGTGTTTAAATGATGACACCATTATGTGAAGTGATTTTGTAATTCTTGGCTGGAATCTCTCATTTCATCTGCTCTCATCTCCTTTGAATCATACTCCCTGGCTGCAGAGATTATGATTGATTTGTTTGTGACAGATTGCAGGAAACAGTCATTGATTTTTCAATATTTTACCTTAAAATTATTTACAGTTGTAACCAAGGGGAGGTATTTCCATGGGCTGTCAGCCCCTGAAAGACTGGGATAATATTCCCTGCTCCCTGACAAGACAAATTACCCGTAATGAGTGCAGTAGCTGAAGGGTATACTTTTATTTTAAAATATGTCAATAACCCCAGTGACTAAACGAATATTGATTCAGCATAATGAAGCCTGAGTAATGTGAAAATGAGCTCTTCAAGGAGCACGGTAAAGACTTTCTTTTTAGCTTGTAGCAAGAAGCTTTTCATTCTTTACTGTTAGGTAGTGCAATTGTGCAGCTTTAAACAAGTCGTACTGAAACAGCAGCAATATGCAGCATGAAGAACGTAGCTGCTGGTTTTTTGGTGCTTGTCTGACTGCTTATTTTCTTCAAGCTCCTTCCTCCGTGCAGTTCAGCAGATCAGATGGTGAAAGAGAAAAATGCAAGTTATCCAGGGCAGAGATAGAATTACTGTTGGTGTTAATGTCTTCAGCAGTAATATTCTTCAGCTAGCCTAATGGCATTTTTAAAGTGGATTCCGCATATATGAGCATGGAAATGTATCTAAATAAACTGTAGATTTAATTTCATATTATTGACTTCTCAGACATATTGATGTTTGTTCTATATGATCGCTCTAATATTCTCGTCCTTTAACAATTTTGGATAGCTGCTTTATGAGAAGCTAGATATACTGTGTTATAAAACTTAGTTACCATAGCGCACATTTTTCTTTCTGGTGCCTTGTAACACTGTGTGTTCCTTACAGAATGGGAATTTTCAAGCAGTAATTCATTTATATTACAGTAATTTATGCAGTGCCATAGGTGTGGTGTGGGAAAGCATCTAATAGATTAATACGGATGTACTTCAATTGTTCAGGGTAAGGATTAGATTAAAGACCATGTTGGGGTGCAATTTTCTTACTGTTAAAAATATTGAATGCCAAAAAAACTGTCATAGGAAAGGATCAATTTGTCATTTGTATTTGGGAGCACTGCACAACACTGGGTATAAGCAACTGTGTAACGCAGGCTTACACCGAATGACATTTTGTTGGTGTTTGTGTGCAACGTGTCAATTATGAAATGATATTGTAGCCAGGAGCCTTTAGTGAGCGTGTTTGGGCACAAAGATGACTTCCCTTATTTTCTGAGGGGCGACTTCAGTTGCATCCAAGTAGCTTGTGAAAATCTTCAGAAGAATGTCTTCCAATAAACGTGATTTTTGCAAATGTCATCCTCTAGCACAGCTAGAAAGTTATTTCACTTGAGAACCTGTGGCATTGTGAATTAAATGCCAACCCTGGAATCTGAGAGATGTTCCTGGTTTTTATAATCTGTTAATTTGCAGAAGGGTGTTTAGTCTGAGAGGTTTTGTGCGTAACACCAGGGGTTTGCAAAATACTGGTGTGTTATTAATGATGAAAGTAATAACCTCGCCGGGGGCTTTTGCAGGCTGGGGTTCAGCTGGGAACATTAAACTGATCAGTAGAGCTTTGGCCATCCCAAACTGTCTGACTGTCTTCTGTATTTCTGTTCCTTTTGTTTTTTCTGGCTTCCAGCAGGAGGTGGGAAGGGAAGGCCGCTGTTGGGTAGCTTTCCCACAGTAGTAAGGAAAAGGGAGACAGATCAGAGCTGGGTGCCAGATCTATTGCAGTCCGAAGGGCAAATAAATGTTTGTTTTAGCCACATCTGCTTTTCCTGGATAACACTGCATGAGCTCAGTGATACCAAAGTGAACAAAAGCAGATACTGCTGGAGGTCCTGCTGAACCAAAGTGGGCTTTTCTTGAACGTCACTGGCTTGTTTCACTCGCAGGCCAGGGAGCTCATTCTGCTGCCTTTCCCCAGGACATGTTTGCTTGTTAAATACCTGCCTGCATGGCGTTCCGGTTCAGGCCTGAACGACATACTTGGCACTAAGGCCAAACGGTGCCTCCTTGGCTGCAGGAAGCAGACAAATGGCTTGTGAGCTCTGTGTGTGATACCAGAGATTTCTGGTGATGGGAACTTGGAAGCTCTTACGTTTCTTCATGTCTCCATTTAGCATTAGAACCGCTGCAATTGCCAGGCTGCTTTCAGGTGAGTAATGAAGAGAAAACAAACTAAGACCCCCAAATCTCAAATGCTTGTTGGTAGCATTTGAAATCTCCTGCCAGCAGGACGTAAACTCAGTTCAGTAGGTGAAAGTAAAGGAGAAAACTATGAAATAATGCTAATGGGTAAAAATGGAGTAATCTAATTTGTGGCAGAGCAGAACCAACAGTTAAGTCATGCAGGACTGAATATAAGTTTGGGTTAATAATTAGGGGTCATATGTCTCTAAATGGTGCAGGATGGGGGAAGACACGGAGATGTGGGTGATAGGCATCAAACTCCCTGACACCTCCCAACTCCAGACACTCTTTTCTGAAGTCCAAGGACTAATATGTCATGGCACCTGAGTAAAAATGGTCTGTAAGTGGTCAGCACCAGTTGATATCTATCCCTTGTGCCGTAAACTTGATGTATTGAAATTGCTGTTTTCTGTTTTTATAATTAACACACAAATGATTTTTCATTGAAAAAGGCTTGCATATAGAGTATTAGCATTTTTTTTAGAAAGACCACATTATGTACTAAAAGCTTTCAGTTGGTATAGTGGTATGTGGTGTATGGGGGACTGTTAGAGAGCCATAAAAATCTATGAGGAGGGCCCACAGTGCTTTGAGGGATCTAGCCTAGCTGCTGTGGCTAAAAGTGAATGGCTGAGTTAATGCATGAATGTTGAAATCTGCATTTGGAATTATGGAAACAAGTTGAGAAACAAGAGCTTAACTGATGGTTGACTATTTTCAGCGCTGGGGAAAGAACTGTTATGTTTTCCTCTTTTTTTTTTTTTTTTTTTAAGGAAGCTCCAATGTCTTTGTGTTTGTTTGTTTTAACTTATCTTTTAGTATGAAATGTCATTCCCAAAATGAGGTAATGTCCTTGTGTTGGTGGCAACAGCTGGAGTTGCAGAATTCATAAATAATTCAAAGGGGGATGAAGGGTAGGGGGCTTTGAATCTTTATAATGCACAGACGCTTCATTTTAGATACGGCATCATTTGAATTCACTCAATATGATGATTGCACTGACCTGTCATATTTATTTGATGTCCCTTCGAAGGACCATATGCTCTGTCCTTACAGTGCTCGGCATGAAAAAGGAAGCAAGTCGCTGTCCGAAAGGCAGTGAGGTTGCTGTGGGGATGAAGACCCTCTCTTCCTCTCATCAGATCAGTGGATGTACTGCTGCAGGGCAGTAGGAGAAAGTGCAGCTGTTACATCAGTGCAGTGACTGCATGGTAGCGTGGACTGGAGAAAGAAAGGTGGAAGAAAGCAGAAGCTGTTTGCATGAAAGTGTTCTAGGCGTGAAGAACTCAGCTGCCTCTTAGGGCCAGTTGATGTGAGGTGCTTTGTGTGTGGGAGGCAGAAAAGACAGAAGCCAACTAGAGATCTGCTGTGAGCTGCAGAAATCTGGAGGTGCACTGTGATGGCTTTACTGTGGGAATACAATTACTCTGTTGGAAGCTCGGTTGTCCTGCAGCCTTCTGGGGATACAAAGCTCAGGTCTTTTCACTGACCAGTCCATGAAGCTGCTTGCTTAGCTAAACAAAATCTCAGGTAATGGTTTTGGGAAAACATGCTGTGGGAGCTCTTCAATTCTGGCAGCCGTTGCATCTGTTTCTGCTCTTTTTTCCATGATGTTTTTGTTTGTTTGTTGTTTTTTTTTCTTTTTCTTTTTAGAAGTTACATAGCAGTGTAACAGCTTCAAGTTCAGCCATGTGCCCTAAGTAATGAGCTGTGTGATAATGAGTGATGTGTGATTCCTACTGGCTAACACGTTGGCTCATGTTGACAATTCATAGTAGATAACAGGGCTGTGTAAATGTTACCTCTGAATGCACTATTAAGAGGCAATGTTTTTATGGAGCAAGGTGCAATTGCAGCAGAGAGCAGTGATTTGTATGAAATAGTTTGTCCATTGAGCTCATGTCACTGGCAGAAGGAAACTAATGAAGTGCAAGCTAGTGAAATGCAGTAACTAGAAGCTGTGAGTAAGAATGCTAACTGTATGTAAAACTTTCTCTTCTAGATCCTGCCATTGATGACCAAACCTCCCTGAAATCTTCTTATCAGTTGCTGCCAAGATGAGAAGGATAGCAGGAAAGAGGAGTGTGTAAGTGGTTCTCATGACAGTTAATTTCATCATTTTATCAAATGACAGGTTGTTTTTTTACCTCAAAACTTGACTGTCATGACAAGATGCTTTTGGAAGCTATCTTTGTAAAACAAAACTGACAATTTTTAGGATACAAAGAGTTATTGTCTCTTTCTGTACAATGTCGTCATTATGGTAAACTGCTGGAAGGTCTTTATTTCTGAACTAATTGAACTTGCATACCTCACTCATTTATTTGAAAATCTGTTGAATGCCATGTGAGAAGTTCTCTTGCCAGAGTTTCTTTTTTCTTTCTCCAATGAAACAGTTATTCTTACAACACTCAATTTGTTATTGTCTAAAGTACTGTTGCCCTAGCCTCCTGCAAAGTGTTTCTTCTTAGTAATTCTTGAACAAATAAGGAATGAATCAGGTTTTGTCCTTCCATGTTTTGATCAGCATATTTTACCTCTCTGTAAAATCTTATTTAGTTTTCAGAATGACAGCATTACAAAGAAAGGTGCTTTACTTCCTTTGCTTTTTTTTTTCCCCCAATTGCAAGTGTCTTGTGCAATGATGTTGTGAATATGTGCATTGCCAAAACACAATTACTGGGAGGAGAGACAAACTGCTGGGAATGTCATGTTATACCAAATCAAGAATTTTTAACTTTTACTTACTCTGCGCAGTCTTTTCAACTGTAACTCCATATATTGCATCTGGCTTATATTTTGACTCTACTGGAACCAATGTGTCCTTGGAGTTGTATTTTAGAGTAATTTCAGATTCGTATGTATTGTGATTGTTTTTGTGTTGTTTTTGTTTTTTTTTCCTCCACCAGCCTGCTTTAAACTGTTGGGATTAACTTCACAGAAGGCAAGAGATACAGCCTCCTTTGCAGCAGCTGTGCTGGTTATAAAGGAGGCTTCATGCAAACTTGCTTGCTCTCTTTTTTGTAGGTTATTGCTCTCACTAAGCAAGGAAGTTGAACTGTTTTCCTGAGCACACCCAGAATTAATTCAGCCCAAGCTGATCATGTTATCACATGCTGGTTACTGCTGGCCCGGGTCATTCTGATGGAAGAGCAGGAAGCACACAGACCAGCTGCACCAATGGCTTACCTGGGAAGGGGTGTCACCAACAGGGGAGTTGTGGAGCTGGTGGTGGTTTGGTGTTTTCAGCAGGTGCAGCTGCATCTCTAAGGTAAAAACTTGACCTGTTGGAAAGCTGTGAAGCATGTTATGAGTAATATTTGTGTTTCAGAGCCACACTGGATAATGTAAAGTAAACCTTTGCTCTGTGACTCGTACTGTTCAATGTGAGTGAAGAGAGGTGGTGTGAGTGTGTGTAGCTGACAGGATGGTGATTTCAGGAAATCCTCTGTGCTAAAGATGCTTGAATGGTGCGGATGCTTCCATCTCAGCAAACACACTGTTGTGTGAACACACTCATCAGAGAGGTGGCCTTAACCACTACATGCCTTGAAAGAAGGCTTTTGACACTTGGTGACCTGACTAGCTTTTAGAGAAAAGGGAAGAGCTCTTGCCTCTGCAGCAGAGCCTGTCTTTCTACCCACTGCTGCTGGTCTGCCTGATTCCTGCAGTGTGGGCAGGAATCCAGTGAGACATGCAAGCTCTCAATGTTCCCTGTGCCAGTATGGATGATCTGTGGTACTGGAGGCATTCTGGGTAAAGCCAGCACACATTTCTTCAAACCTGGCCCTTTTTGCATGAGGACTGTGGATTGTAGGTGCTGTCCCATTAACAGGACTTGGGCAGACAAAGAACAAGAGGCTTTCTGAGCAGTTAGAAATCTGAGAGCAGCAACTCTGCTCATGTCTCCTCTTGGGGCACTGCTAGATGAAAAGAATTCAGTTCAGTCACAGAAAGAACTGAGCTTCCACCTCAGCTGGTGCTGCATTCGATACCTTTTAATTGGTTCTGAGCAGGAGAATGAGGAAGTGTGCACTGGCCTCTCTCATGTGCCATGTATAAGGGAGGGAAATAATGTATGATATCTGGAGAAGAACTTGGTGCACATCAGGATAGCACCATGGCACTGCTTTGCAGGAGAGAACAGCTTCCCCTGGCTGGCGTATCCACAGCAGCACTGCTGTACCACAGTACCTTCAGACCAAAGCTGTTGCCCAGCCTCGTGTTGGCCTCAAAAGTAGCATGAGGAGATGAGATTTAGGCCTTAGGACTAAGGCAGATAATCACAGACTGGGGACTGTCCATAAACTTAGAGTGGCTAGTATTTAAAAATGATGTGATGAAAAGAAGTAATAGATATGATATGACTGTGTGAGGCCTATTGCTTTCCTGCCAAGTTTTCAGTTAATTTGGCTATGCACTGCTATACACTGAGGAAAAAATTTGAACTAATCTATCAGACAGTTTTTTAATCATGTTAGCCTCTCCTTGCAGTGCAGTGCTCAGTGCATGCGTGGCTCAAGGAGGCGAACCACGTAATTTCCAAAATCCTCAGTTTGCCACTGAAGCAGCCCATAGGGTGAAGGTGAGGGCAGCTGCAGGCACTTAGTGCTGTGACGACAACCTGAGGTCAGACCCCTGCTGAGCTGTCTGTGTTCAGAAGTGAAGCACCGTGTCTTCCAAGGACTGCTGACACATCTGTGGCTGCTGAGGGCTGAGCCTACAGAGCTCCTTCAGACAGCCTGGAATCCTCACATCTTAATATGGGCCATTGTCATACCCATGTTAAAATAGTTAATGAAATACTTGTGGCTTTCTAACCACCCTTTTCATCTACTCAAGTGTTAATACCATATAGTTTCACATAATTAAACCAGTACTGTAAAATAGCATCTGTCTTATGTAGAGCACTGTCATGGCTACGTTATGCCAATGAGTAAAATTTTATGTCTGAGCACTTAAAATGATCAAGTAGTATAGTTAAGACTGTCATATTGTTTATGTGGCACTAAAAAGAAAACAAAATACAATTTCACAGCAGACATATATACATATATATTTTTTTTCTTATAAATACTCCAAATAATAGGATGGATTCAACTAGACTTTCTGGCTCTTCAGTGGTTGCTGCATTCTGTATGAATATATCAGGATCCTGGGCATTTAATAATTTATTTTTATTACAAACACATGATTTCTCTGTATGTTTGCCACAGATCTGTTAGACAAAACATAACTTCTTGAATAGCATTGTACTCTCACTTTCAAACTCCTTTAACTTCAGTTCAATCTTGGTTGAATACAACGCATTCCTGAAAACAGTCTGTACATCTGTAACATGGCAAGTTGATTTTATAGGATTGCTTTCATATTTGAGACATAGCAAAACATTTTCAAGGTGATGCATGTTGATATATGGGGATAAAGATCAGTTACTGACAAAGTCTAAGGTGCAAGTTTTTAATAAGACTAATGAATAATTAGAAATTATCAGAAAAGGTATAGCAGATTTTCTAGCACTTTAGGATTTTGAAGGCATGTGAAATGGTTTCACAGAGGTGTATGCCTGATCAAATGGCTGAGTGGGGTGGAAGAATTCCTTGCAGGCTTCTGTGGTTTCTGTTACACCTGGGTTCAGACTGAGTCGCCTTAGTTGTGTTTTTGGCTTAGAAGAGAAGGAGGTACCTCAGTGTAACAAAGAGCTGGGGCATGGCAGCTACCACTGAACTGCTAGGCACCTTTTTGTAAATCCTTTCTTTAAAAACAACAACAGAAACGTTTGGGACAGATGGAACAAAACCAACTAATTTGGCAAACCTTTTCTCTTCTACAATCAAGCCTTTCTCAAAAATGCTATTTAATATCGCGGCACTTGGTTCCAAGGAGTGTGATGTTTCATTGGCTTTAGGTGGGTTTATTTCCTCCATCCATCCATCCACCCCAGCGCCAATGAATCAAGCAGCACATGAATTTTTTTCAGAGCAACTGTCTTTTGTACACTGCTGCAAAGTGTAATGTCGCCTCGTTGCTAGAAATAATTATTAGGCTTAAAATAATCTGACAGCGTCCTGCTGTGTATAAATTAGGTTTGTTCTCTGCTAAGATCAGTTTGCTGGCACCCATTCACTAACACATCACCAAAACGCGATTGCAAGTTGATCGCATCCGGTTATCTGCCTTTTTTCTTCTTAATGGACTTTTTGTTGCTGTGCTGTCACCCAGGTTGAAATAAACGCATGCAACTCGTGCGATTCAAAGTTCTGTGCAGCCTGGGGAGATGGTAGTGGCTCTTCAGCAGCAGGCTCAGGGGCACAGGCACTGCAGAAGGGAAGCAGTTGTTTGCGCTTCAACTTCTGAATCTTGTGCAACTTTGGTTTTGGCCAACTTGGGTATCTTCTGCTCTCAGACAAGCAGTATGTTATCAGTGAGGTCCCAAATGCCAGGTATAATTAGCTCATGTTTAGAGTGGTGTTGTTATGTTTTGACGTGTATGTGCAAGCCTGCTTTCATGCAGAAGAACATATTTGACGTGGGAAGAATGCTGTGTGATTCAGAAAAAGTTAGAAACATTACTTAAAGCTGTGCACTGATGTTTCAGATTTCATAAAACGCCACAAAGTTTTTATTTCTACGTTCATGATTGATTAGGGTTAGAGTTTTAAAGGCTTAACGCTGCCTACAAGTACTTTGTAGTCAGTCACTGAGAATTATAGGCTTGGCATAATTCACATTTCTGTTCTTCAGTATATCCATTATTGTTAGATGCTGAGTAGTCATTGCACACAGATGACTGATTTTTTTTTTTTAAATTTTATTTTACAGTTTTACACATGTGGAAAAATACTTTGTTAGAGCAGCTCCTGGGTGAACGGGGTAATTAAAGAACTGCGCCGCTTTTATTGGAGTTGACACATGCTGCATGTTCTTAAGACCCAGTATGTGAGCAGAATGCTTCCAGGATTTATTGCCAGTCAGACAAGTAAAGATACTTTTAATAGGAATAAAGATAACTTCAATTTTTACACTGTTAAATAAAACTGTCTTTAGGAAGAGAACTATGACTGTGATACACTGCTCGTGCCCTTGTTTTTTTTTCTGTATATATGCATTTTGTAGACACACCTGCACAAATGCTGGAGACATGATCACTTTTATTTGACAGTAATTGTATGTTCTGTTTTTACTTATCTGGAGAAAAAATAGTGTTGTAATGCTGACTGAGGATCTTAGTTTGCTTGGTGCCAGAGGAATCCTGCAGTTGGTTTCTTTATTTAAACTGAATTGCAATCCTCCTTAGTTTGACTTGCAGCTCTTAGTGTCTGAGAGCTTGGTGTAGCAAGCAAGGAATTTCATGTAACATAAATTGGAGACTTGGTTTTGTTTTAAATGATGAGCGCAGTGTTCTGCATGCGTAATGCCTTGCAAGTTGTGAAAAAAGTAGACTCGTAACTGCAGCACAGAGTGGCTAAGTGCATTGTACATGAAATCCCTCAAAATGGCTATTGAACAGATACAGTTACTGACAGTGTCATTTTCTGTGATGCGATCCGTTTCCTTTCCTCTGCTTTCTTTTTCCAACATACTGGAACAATTTGAGGTCCATTTGAGAACACTCAGTCTGCCTTTCCTGTTAACAGCTCGTGTCTAAAAGTATCTTTAGCATTCCTTTTTTTAAAACTACAAATACGTGTTTAAGGCAGAGTTCACAAACACATAGCTCTCAAGATCAAGCCAGTTCTTAGCTCACTTTGCATGCCTTTTGTTCACACAGCTCGCGGTGTGGAGCACCCTGCCAAGCACACTGCTCCTCTGAGCTGCAGTGAGAAGTGGATGACCAGTGCTGCACACAGCTAAGCACACAGCCTTATCAGCAAGCGTGCTTTAGGTAGGTACGGGTGCAAAGTGCTTTCCTGAAGGAGCAGGCAGGGGTGGAAAATATCGGAAGGCCAGGTTCTTCTGCTGTGACTCCTTACAGCAAGCCCAGCGCCGGGCTGACACTGTCAGCAGCAGCCACACCTCTGCCAGCCCCAGACGGTGCCAGGTGGGTGGAAGCCTGGGATCAGTGGGAAGGGACACAGCAGGGAAGGCAAACATGCTGTTGTTTTCTGAACGCTTCCAGGTTAAAGCACGGCCATCTTCATCTCCACGCTGAGAGAGAGGAAGTCGCAGAGTCACACTGTTGAGCAGCACAGAGGCTGGAGGTGATTTTTTTTTTTTTTTTTTTTTTTTCCTCCCCCAAAGTCTTCTTTTAAAATAGTTATAATTAAATCACAGAACTTATGCGTGGAAAGCCAGTGGCAGTTATTTAATAAGAAATGCTTTGTTAAGCATTAATTATTTTAAATTCTTAGTAGCATCATATATTATCTGTATTTTGTGTTGTTCTTACAGCTATTTGGCTTAAGACCATCATGCTTTCACTTCCGTATTTTGGGACATTTAAACTGTTAAACTCTAAGCACTTTTCAGGCATTACGTTTGACTTACTGTTATTACGTACAATAAAATATAACAGAACACAATATTAAAGTCTGTGCCAAAAGAATATTATTTGGTGGCTACAAATAAAGAATGCAGACAAGTTTTTAAGATCTGTTTGGGTTTTCATTTTTTTGCTAATTCTTTAAAGGAAGTGTTGTAATTATTAGCATTATTTTTAATACAGGAAAAAAAAGTGTTCCTTACTGGGAAGTGTAAGATACAGTAGTATACTGTTGTCTTATATTTCTAGGGCTGTATTAAATAAACTGAAAATATACACTTGTTAATTTTAGCATCCTGTTAGCATACGCAGTAGGAACTAGTTTTATATCTGAATGTGCCAGTGAGAAGCTGTGTATTTTCAGCTGTTTCTGTATCCTAATAAACCCATCCGACAGACCGGGCTCTGCAAAAGTTAAAGATGAAAAATTGGTTTCTGAACTCCTTGTGTGCTGCTTTAACATTGCGAGTTGATTCCCATGTGCTAAAGTGTAAACTACCAACTAATCCGTAGGAGTTTTACAGGATCGAGTCATTTAATTAACACTTTTAATTTCAGATGTGAGAGAAGGTGAAAGCAAGGTCTGGAAAGCGGAGAGAGGCTTTGTGCTTCGTAGCTGAAGAGTTGCTGTGCTCTAAGTCTGCTGTTGATAGCACCCATAGACCGCCTCCTTCCTGCTAATTAGGCTTCCTGAACACAGCCTCTGGAAATGGCTTGAGAAGTGTGTTGGGTGGGTGTTTTTTTTTTTTTGTTTTTTTTTTTTTTTTTTTCCAACCAACCACTACACCACCATAAATAAGGAAACTGTATTGTATGTAGCTATTACACCAGGCTCGCTTGGCAGGCTGTAATTTAATAGAACAACAATGATCAGACTAGTATATCAGTTAATTTTCAAAACATTTTATTCCACACAAATTAGCACAGGTCCTGGAGGGCAAAATGACAAGAGGTTACTCGTACACTATGTATTTAATTAATTGAAAAATGCTCAAATTGCTTTTACAGTTGTTATTAGAAAGTAGAATCAGTGTTGCCAGTGCTCAACCATAATTAGAGCCCCGGGGAATTAAATATTTAGCATTAGTAATGTAACAGCACTTAGGACACAAATTTCTATTTTTGTAATGAAAGCAATACAGCGTAAGTGCAAATGGCTGAAACGACAGCTGTGACAAGTGAAGCAGCCTGGGATATTTCAATAAGACACCGCATTGGACAGCAAGTCTTACCGCATTACTCGTCTGTAAGGGAGCTGCAAGTTGAAATCCCAGCAGCCACGCATTACAGCCCGCGTTTGGGCTCCTGATTGCTCGCAGGACAAGCCGCTGGGCAAATGTCACACAGCCGTGCTGGAGAGGGGCCGCATTGCACCGCAGCGGGGTCAGCAGTGGGCAGGGCGGAGCGGGAGCCGAGCCTTGTTTGTTTGACTTCAATTAGTTCTAAGCAGCAGCAGCGAGCTGTGAGAGGTCGGGCGTTGGCTGTGAGGAGCGGTGCTGCTGGATCGCTGAGGGACCGAGGGTTGGTTGGGCACGGAGTGCGGGGCTGGGCACGGCTCCGAGCTGCCTTTGTTCTGAGGCACGCGGTGCGAAGCATGAATAAAGCACACGGCTCCAGTTCTCTGCTTTTTTCTTCTCAGGGTGGAGGGGAAGGAGGGCAGTTCGAAGCCACCTGTGTTTCTCGAATGAAAAAAAAAAAACAAAAAAAAAAAACCGGTCTTTGGACATGGCACAGCTTGTCAGCGCAGCTGAGGCTGTGTTTCCTCAGAACGCGCCATCGGCTGCAATTGCTGCCGCGCCGTTTGCAGACGAGCTTCGTTCCCGCTCGGCACGCGCCGGGAACAGCGTCACGTGGCCGCCCAGCCCTGCGCACGGCACGACATGGCGGCCCCGCCCTGCGCACGACATGGCCGCTCTGTGTAGACGCGCGGTGCGGCTCCTCCGTGTGGAGGACGGGGCGGCTAGGGCCGGCTTTAGCTTGTGTGGAACTCATCTTCGGCCCGGTTTGGGCTGTGGCTGCGGGTTTTCTCGGAGATGTACCTCAGCGCTTGGGGCTGCTCCGCAGGGGCTCTCAGGTAAGCGGCAGGTGATGCTGCACGAGGCTCGGCTGCACATAGACTCCTGCTGGCCGTGGGGTGCTGAGGTACGGCCGGGGTCACGGGGATTTTGGGTTGGGGTGTTTCCGTTTTTTGTCCCAGTGCTGTAAAACACAGAGGCAGGCCCTGGCCTTTCCTGGTTCCTCACCTGTCCAGTTGAGGATTCGGTGCCCTTTTCTGCTGCAGTCCTCTCTTTGGGACATGCCGCAACCTACCCTGCCGCCAACCTCTACATTAAGACAAAAGCTGAAAGAGACGAGCTTCAGCCCAAGGTCGCTCGGTGTTCTGATGCTGTCCCTGAAACCAGCCGAACACGCCCAGGAATTCACGCACTTGCAGTATGATAGATCTCCTGAATTTCTGCTAGGGGTTATGTTCTGTGTGATTCCTTCCTGTTTTATTTTCTCCTACTCAACTGAAGCCAGATCCCGAGTCCATGGGTATCTGCTAATGTCGTTAAACCCACTGTGCCATTGAAGGGCAAAGTGAAGGTTCAAGTCCTCCTCAAGCTCTCTGTGGTCTTTAGGGCCTGATTCTGCAGCAGGGCATGATGTTACAGCAATGAGTCTGTCAATACAATAAGGATGACAACTCGTCTAACTGTGGTTACAGAACTGGACCCGTGGAGAGAGGGGCTTCCTACTGCTACTTGTTTTATTATAAATAGGGAAGCCGGACCACAAAAATACATTCAAAAATTGCATCCCACTGTTCTGAAAACTCTGAAATTGGGTTCATGCTGTGCCGCGTTGCTGATCTGCATGTTTCCAGACAGTTGGAAAACTTAAACTTGCATTACAAACCAGGCCATATTGAACAAATGAAGGGCAGATTTTCAGTCTCAGCTCCCCGTTTTGGGGGTGGGGAGGAAGGGTGGTTAGGCTCGTAATGTTACACTGGCGTAGCGTGTGTGACGATGAAATGAATTGGTTAATGAGTGCCTAAGCATCTGTTCAGACTCTGGTAGATACTTTGCCAAGGTTCAAGTTCCCTAAGGAGGATTAGCCACCTGGTACAGTTTTCATGATACACTGACAAAGGGGACACCCACCTTCAGATTTACTGCAGATGAAGAATGAAGGCTAGAATATAGTTCAGACAAATGTACGGGGTCCCCAGGAAGCTTGTGAAGTTGCGTGATGTAATTTTGTAATCTAGCGTCTACTTTTGTAATTGCTGTGATTACAGCAAGGTCTGCAACTGGTGTGTATTTTTCTAGCAAGATTGAAATGTATTCTCTCAGCTTGTCTCATGCCGTCACCAAATAGATTTATTTATTTTCCTTTCTCTTAAATGGCATGCAGCTCTTTGCGCGCAATTATCTCTCTTGCTATATAATATATAAAATCAATATACACCATAGGGCAACAAGAAATTGTGATAAAAATAGTTTTGAAGAGAAAAATGAGCATTTCATAGCCTGAGCTTACAATTAGGCTTTCTGAAGTGTCTAGCATTTGAGGCATGGACAGCATTATGAGTTGATGAAAGGCCTGCACTAAAAGGCTGAAATTTATGTGATGGCAGTATCGCTTTACGATGAGCGTGATTTAGGAGGACTTTGACCCATCAGATGCATTATAGCAAAGCGACTTGGTTCACTTGGAAGACAGAAACTTTGCACATTTGTTGCTATGCTTGGAAATAGCTGAAATCACACCGCCAACCTGAATTAAGAAAATGAAATAGACCTGATGCCTCTGAACTGAAAGAGGGCTGTGCATGCAAGTAGGCTTTTGTCACTGGCCTACCTGTGCTACTGAAGCAATGCAGGTTTGTATTTTGATTAGTTTGATTTGGGGGGGAAGAAAGGGCTGTTGGTGGGTGTTTGTGGGCCAGCCTGATGCTCTGCGCTCATGGCAGCCTCCAGGTGTGCAGGAGTGGGTGGAGAGGTCCCCAGCTGGGCTGCTTCTGTGTTTCCCCCAGCCTCAGGTGTGGCTGCTCTGCTGGTGATCAGCGGGTGTGAGATGGAGCTTCAGCTCCAGGGAGATGTGTGAGGATGCAGAGGAATTTCAGGGCTTTGTTCTGCAGCGCTTGGCAGTGTTCTGGGTGCTGAGGTGGAGAGGAGGCAGCTGGACCCTATGTAGAGCTGCTCGCCTGGCAAAGCAGGTGGCTGGGTGCAGTGCCCTACAGCTGGGTGCCAAGGCTGAGGTGGGACAGCCCTGCAGAGCATGCTTATCTGAGGCAGTCAAAAACAGGTGTGTGTAGTACCCTCGGTCTGCATTTCTGCATGGTGCTGGAAGTGCAGAGAAAGAGTGAGTCTTTGCACAACCCTGCGTAGCTGGTGTGTTCACACAGCAGTGAGCAGGGCACTACCAGTGCAAGATGCTTGTTTCAGAACCCTATTGTGGATGTCCTTCCTTTCTCCCAGCATGGTGGACTGCGTCCCACTCCCACATGGGGGCCGCAGGGTACTGGCAGCAGCACTGCCTTCCCCGGGCTGCACCTGCCCAGTCATGTCTGTGAGAGCACAGGGGGAAGAACTGCTCTTGCTAAAGACGGAGCTTGTCTGCTGGAAGAGCGCCCGTTCACAGGTGAGAGATTGTCTGTCTCAGTTTGGACAAGGGAACTAATTGTTCAGTCCTGTCTGGCTTTAAGTGCTCTGAGCAATATGGGTTCCACCGCTTCCTTTGGGAGATTACATTGCTTAATACATCTGAATATCAGGAAGTTGGTTTCTCGCCCTGGGTATTCAATCTAAAATTTTCTTTAATTAATTTAATCTCATCACAAGAGCTGGCGAGAGGAACAAAATATTTTTCAGTGTCAGGATTTGCTTTTTCCCAGCGCCGCTTGCTCATCCCCATGCTCAGGTCCTGCAGGTGCACGGGGGTCAGCAGACCAGGCTGCTTTCCAGGGCTTTCTCCAGTTGTTGGGGGATCCTCACTGGCCTGGCCTTCAGGAGCTCTGACCAAGCTCTGCAGGTTACCACACATGATTACTTTGACCTTGCTGCAAGTTCTCCGGCTGATAAAACTTCATTGTGGAAGAAAGTGTGTAAAAATGTGAGTATTTCTGAAGTATGAGGAATCAGAAGGAGGTGGAGGCTGCATGTGTGAGAGCTGCAGTGTCTCAGTTATCTGGTGATCCTGGCACCGGCCCCCGCGTGACTGAGGTGGATGAAGAATGGGCTCACACTAAAGCTCACGACTTGGAGACAGAATACATGAGTTTTGCTCCAACTTACACAGA